GGTCGATCTGAGACATTGCTCACCACATCCCCCATCCCCTCCTCACGGCTGGGTGTCTCTTCAGTAGACAAGCTGCTTGACAGTGCATTAGGGTGGTCGCCACCGTTGTCGTTGGCGCTGGAACTGGCGCTGCTCTCAGACGCCATTGTTTCCGGCACATCCTGCAACTCCGGTGGCACTATCATTGTGATAGGCTCCACTGACAAAACCCCTTCCTCTTCTCCCTCTCTGCCCTGGTTACCTCGTTGCTCTGTGAGTTCTCTCAATGAAACCATGTTTACCTGAAACTGATGTGAAGTCGATTCGGTGTGCTGTTCTTCAAGCTGGAGCGTTTCGCTTCAGAGAATTTTAGAAAATTTAAGCAAATGCAGAATTGAAAATGAAAAAGGGGAACGGTTACGCAGAGAAGGATAGTAGCGTTAATTGCCGTACGCGTGTTTCTGACGCGCCAACTAGCGTCCCACACGTGGCAGACGCTTAACGCCCCTCCTACATAACGTGCGTCGGCTTTAGCTGTCACGTCCCTCGAATGCTGAGCCAGCATTTATGACGGGGAAGGCAGAGGGATATGGGAAGTTCAATCGTATCTCTTCAGAGATTTGCTTAACTCAAAAATCCCCAAGAGTCAGATCGTAACTGCTGAGCTGTACCCTATACTGTCATGTCAGCTCACCATTGCGAGCAAACTTACCAGATCGTCACAAAGATGACATATTCGCCAGATCGGCTCAACCGTGCCAATTCGTTCACGAGTGTAGATCTTTCACTAGGATTCAGCTCGTCACATATCGTGACGAAGAGCACGTTTACCAGGTCCTTATATGGATTGCAGCTCACACCAGGCCGCAAGCCTTTGCATAAATTGATGGGTGCATGAGGTCGCCCTATTCGACAACACTACTCGTGCGAGCTAATAAAGTGACGGTCAAAAAACATCAAATCACACTGCATGTGAGGTCGCGTCGCCTCACTTCGTGATCATAGCTAACTGAGTGTCACCTGGTCACACTTCGGTAGTACCCCAAGGTCAGGCCGCCTTACGTCCGAGCTGAAAGGGCGTTATATACGTGACTTGTCCATGTGCGAACTTGTCTGTTGCGAATCACTTCAGCTCGCCGCCATAACCAGCCCACACTAATGTGGCTACGAATACAGGCTTGTCCACACGTTTTCAAGCTTGTGAGCTCGCCTTTTTTCGTTTTACCTTTCAGCTCGGCCCTCGTCGAGGTCAGCAGCCCGTCGCTACATCCATCCCAGTTCGTCAACCGAACACTGGGGGGGGAATAATGTTGGGATAGGCCCAACATTCAAACAGGGCTGTGTGAAAAGGGCCTAGGCTACCACCCATTAGCCCAAGCTGAAGGAACATCAGTACAAGCACACCCACGTGACCCATGCCACGTGGGTCAAGGGGATGCTTACACGTGCAGATGTATGTCAGCACCAAGGGGCTATAAATACCCCCCAACTACCTCCGATGAAGGTAATTAATCTCTACGCTTCTCTCTCTGCAATTACTCCTTGAGAGAGAGCTTCTCTCTCTAAAACATTGAGTATTTTGCTAACTTAAGCGTTGGAGTGTTTTTCCCGAGGAAACAACCTCGGGATTTTCAGGTGTGGAAGCAGCTAAGGACTTCAACAGTGTTGGATTGTGAAGCTGCCGAAACAAAAACATCTACAAAATTAAAACTTAGAGTAGTGATCGGAGAATGGGTACCCTTAATCAAGAATTGCAACTAAACAAAGCCTTTTGACTGTCGAGATGGTGACAAGATAAGTTTGAGGGTAGAGTTG